TCTGTTTATTTTTCGGAAAGAGGAGGAAGAGCAAGAGAGGTTTCGTTTGGTCAGATTTTTTTGAATTCTAATTTTAGTTGAAGTGTTAGGTCTATATTTGGCTAGAATATATAGATGCAGAAGCAAATAGATGGATGAATAAATTCTTGTCTGGTGGAAAAGAGAGTAGTTCACAAATCAGAGACTTGTTTATACGTCTTTTTTTTTTTTGGTTTAACGCCTCATTGTTTGAGGATTTACTTTAAAAGAGGCATTTTTTGCTGTTTTTTCTATACTTGCTATAAATCTTAAAGAGGAAAAAAATAAGGCGTTTTTTTATTCATCTTTTTAATGGCTATTTTCCTTAGTAAATTGGACTAAGTTATTACACTGATAGTTTACTCATGCTCAAAAAATTTTTGTTATTCATTCTTTGAAAATTCATTCAAAGGTGGAAAACTTATATTTTTTTCAAGTTTTCAGTAAAGACTTCTTTTCTGACTATTTTTTGGCTTAGTCATCTAATTCATTTATTTCACCTTGTTTCTGAGACAAGTAATATTTATAAATTGTTATTTAGAGCTTGCTAATACTTTTAACAATGCCTTGGATAAGCTGAAGAAAAAATTTGGTTTTGTCAAATGTCTCAATGGCGGTAGACGGAGTACTGAAGGCAAGCGCTTTTTTTCTGTTTTATTGAATTTTATATATTTCTAGACTTAATTAGTGAAAAGTAATCTGTTAATTATGGATTATTTATTTGTTTTGATGGTTGAGGAGCTCTGAAAGAATGGAAGTTTTTCTCATCTAACAAAACACTCCACTAAATGTCTTTAATAACTCTTGTTAAAAATCCAAAGTAATACTTGTAGATTGTTGTTTAGGTAACTGCATATGTCCTCAGTATTTTAAAGGAGAAACTTGTGAAGAGTTAATATGCATAAATAATGGAACTAAAGTTGAATTACCAAATCGTCGGCCATTCTGCAAGTAAATATTTAACTCCTACGGTCATTTTGGCTGTTTCTGTCAGTTCTGGATAATAAAGTTTAAACTGAGTTAAAGAATAAGGTAATTTCGAAAATTTAGATGTGCCCATCCAGAGTACATAACAGGGACTCATTGTGAGTCAGTCAAATGTGAGAATAATGGTCAGCCTTTGAGCAACGGGCACTGCCGATGTCTTGACTATTGGTATACGGGGCAATTTTGTCAGGTTTGATGCCTAAGAATATTCTTTCGCCGCTTGTATTTTAAAGTGAAGGATTAGTTTTGATTGATCGCTTCCTTGCTGTGCTTTGAAAAAGCAGTATTTTAAACAATTTATTTTCGTTACTCATGTGATTTTTCTGAAAGAATTATTCTAATAAAATTATTTCCAGAGATACACGGCATCTTGGGGTGCAGTTATCGGGGTACCACTGATTTGCATCACTGTTATTGTAATATGTTGCATAATCTGCAGACTAGATTTTTGTCCCAGAAGAAAAGTTCGGCAAACCAGTGAGTTTACGGAAGGCGCACTTTATTCACATATTTTATTGCAGTCAACGGCATTTCGTCTTATTGCATCTCTTGCTTTTGCGCTTCATTGAATCATAGGCTTTTTTATTTTTATTTAATATCCGTTTAATTCAAAAACAGTCATATTTTGCCGGTATTATTACCCTTTTATTTTTCACTAAGTTTGTCTGAAAATCAGCCATCTTTTTTATTTCTGTGCCTACCGTTTTGCTTTCACTTTAGAGGACCAATATTCCTCTCTCTAATAAGATATGTAATTTTTTGAGGAACATTTCTTCTTTAACTCATAAATTTTCAGTTCATTGTGTTACAGTTTTGATGATCATTTCTTTAGGGCGCCGGCGCCCTGGAGATATAGCTGAACCGGCATCTGTTCGAACCGATAGGTGGGTACGAACAGTGGAAGAGCAAATGCAACAGAGACGTATTCTTCACCAAAATGGTCATGAACACGATCTTCGTCTTCAGGTTAATCTTAATAATTATAAAAACTTTAATCTTTTGTTTTCATTTCAGTTTTTACTCGTAACCCAAGTAGCTAACCTAAGTGGCTATACTTTAAATAATTTGAGAAGCATTTTTTCCTCTGCATCCCGGTGAAAATATCATGGTAAAATTTGTAGGAGAACCTTTTAAATGAAGAAAATGCAGAACGGTTACGCTGTGGTAGAGCAGTTCCAAACGTGATCCCATCTTATACAATTCGGCTAGACACTATACCCGCATTTAATCCTCGAATGATAGGAGGAGTCCTTGAGCGAGATTTGAAAGTCGTAGAACCTCCTCCTCCCTACGAACAAGTAAGTAGTAATTTCAAAATTTCTTTTATTTTTTGATTGTTAATCACTGTCGTTTTTCAACTTGTTCAAAATGGCCTATCAGAGGTGATAAGACTTGTTCGATGAACAGATTTGATGTTTAGGCTGTAAGTTCAAATTTTCCTCAGCGGTACAGTACGCCATATAGAAGCGCTGCTTTACCGCGTCCTCCAGAGTATACACCTAATGCGTTGTCCGGTGCCCCTTCAGAACGGTAATTGTTGCATTTTCCCTGGATAAGCGAATTTGTGGACGAATGTATGATACGTGGTTGGCATTTTTCACGTATTTATTGTAATGCAAAAAGTTGTTTTGTTAAGTGTCAGCAAGGTTTGTCTTATAAAATGCAATAGTTCCCAATTTAGAGAAGTCTTTGTAATATTCTTCATTCCTCAGCACCGAGTGTTTGCTCTTTCAGTATTGAATTCTTTTTATTGTTAAGTTTTATAGGAAGCTGTATGAGTGTTATAAAAATAAGATTTTGATGAGGCTGGATATTTACTTCTGTATCTCATTAATTTAAGCTCTCTTGAGTTTTCATTTTTTTTTTTTTTTTTTTTTTTTTTTTT